AGGCGGCTGGATTCGTGCCTAGCCGCCATCTACTGACTCTCGACCTGGTTTCTTCTCCTCTTACTCAGGAAGTACATATTTTTCCTTTGGTTGTTTCTAGTTTTTTGGCTTTATGGCGCTGCATCTGCTTTCGTGATCCTGTTTTTTGTGGATCATCGTCTCTTCTTTTAAGGATGCTCTCTCTGAGTTCATCTCCTTCGCATAAAGGTTTACCTTCTCTTTGGATTTCCGAGGCGGAAATCCAATCTTTGGCTGCCCCTTTCGAATATGCTATGGTCGTAAAATTCCCTGGCAGAGCCCTCTCTTGATGTTATTAGGAGCTTCCTTTTTAAGCTTTAAACTTAATGGTGAAGTTTCGGTTACCTTCTGAATCGAAGGAATGTTTTGATTAAGCTTTTTAATGACTTAGATTACTGTAGAATTTTTGCTCAATAGATCGTATTTCGTGAGCAACTGTTTTATGAAATTGGTAAAATTGACTCCTAGCTTGATATTGAGACCGAATCCCCTGGTTATACCTATTTGGTCTCCCCCTAACCTCCGCCTCACCTGTTTGCCCCACGTATTTTGCATGTCTAGGTTTAATTTTTGGCAAACCTCTGAAAATTGATAATGCTACTAACACTGGATCACGTCCTTCAGTTGCTCGTGTTTGGTTGAGCTGGATGTGTCCAAACACGATACAGATAAAATCTAGATTGGTTCGGATAGTTCTGGTTGTCCAATATGTGATTTTTGAGGATTTCGGAATATTTGCTCATGTCTTGCTCTTGGGTCATTTAAGGCTAGATGTAAGATTCTTCATCCTAATCTTGATTCTACTATTTTGCCGAATCCTTTGGTTGTTGCTAGCGGGGTTCGACTGTTGGTTTTGATTATGCTAAAATTGATCCAGCTATTGTTCTTCCTATTGGTTCAGCCTGCTCAAAATGTGAATGACGTGGTTGAGGTTAATCCTGTTTAATGTGCCTTCCGGTTTTGACGAGTAAGAGCCATACATACCGACAACACAGCTCAAACATAACAGCTGGATCGCAAAGGGCACGAAAAACGTTTCTCATCCTTATACAAAAGTTACAGCTCCGGATAAAGATCCTTTAAGTCAGTAAACAAAATGAATCAATATTCCGCATAACGGAACAAAATTCCGACAACAGAAAAGTCGGTCAAATTATTCAATTTCCGTTAATGGAGAAAGGCGGAATGTGATCTACTTCTAAGTTCGGTCAACTTGTCTCAATGCTACTAGCTACGGACGGAAAACGGACGGAAGTCACCAAAAAGATGTCACTTTTCTTCTTTCCTTGATTCTCTCTCCGGGACTTTTCTCTCTCTTCAAAAAGATATTCATTCCAATAAACCCCATTGCAGGATCATCCTGGATGATCCCAAAATCATCCCAGGACAATTTGCTCTGGGCATGGCATTTCGTCCAGACGTAACCCCAGTTCGTCCATTAGGAACGAACTTCTATGCCAGAATTTTATTCACAACCATTGTACTTGACTCCCAGATGATCCAACTTTTCCTGGATGATCTGGAAGAAAACAACTTTCACAAAATCCATAAAATAATTTAATATAGAATGAGCTTTTTTATATTAAATTTTATTCCTAACTCCAAAAATTATACTCACATGAGAGGTTTTTTTTTCGCCTTTTAAGCCGCCTTTGTAATGCCCTAATTTGCCACTAAGAATGCAATTAGAATTTAAATATTTAGATCCATTTGGTCAATAAACATTATGAATAACAAAACATGAACTCTCTGCAAGCGTGACCATATTATGGGTGGGTGGGCAGATTATTGACCTCCATATATGAGAAAAAAATATAGTTTTTTTAAACATACCTCTATCAAATCCTACGGTGAAACCTCTTTACAGTTAAATCTCAACAACAACTATTAGTGCGCCGTCGATCTCATGCAAATGATTCATTTGCAAACTTCTTATAGCTTCACCAAATTGTTCTTCACGTCTTATTAAAAACACTCAACTAATAGCCCTTGACCTCTCTTCATGCATGTTTAAACCCCCTATTCATTAAATCACATACCCAACACCTCTTCCACTCAAAGCCTCTTAACTTATGCATCCATTTTCTTCCCAACCAAAATCACGCTGTGCCGAACCCAACCCATGAAGTCAGCCTCAAGACCCTTATCAAACACATAACAAAGCCTGCTTCCTATCGACACCAGTTGCACAATCCAGACACTACCACCATCTCTCTGCCCTTGCCTTGTTCAGAGATGTAAACCTTCCATCTAAATTCCCCCTAAAACAACACAGATGTTCCTCAAGACTTTAAATTAACCAATCCGACCTCACTTCACTTAATGAACCTCATGTGGATTCACGCAGTGCCACACGCCCCATTCATGCTATTCAGCTATCATGACAACCCAAACCTCACCTCTTCATACCCTAACAATGAGTTTGTTAGGGATGTTAAGCCCTATGAACTAGCCCAAGCTAACCAAAAAGGGGAGTGAATTTATAGTTTCAAAAATTCGTATAAACAAAAATTATAATCTTTTGAAATATTTTAAAAACATCAAATGCATATTGATCAGCCCACTAAAAATAAACGTGCGAAAATTAAAAATTGCTAGGGAATGTAATAAGAAGTGCACACTAGATTTATAGTGGTTTTGGTCAATTTGACCTCATCCACTCCCCGGAGCCCCTCCTCCATGTATTGACTAAACTCAGTGAGTTGAAAGTTCGTTCGCGGATGTTCAAGCCCTATGAACTTTAGTCCCAAGCTAACCAAGCAGGTGGGTGGGTGAAATTGGAAATATTTTAAAAATTCTTAAGACAAAGAAATAAATCTCAACACCAAATCACACCACAAAAAAAAAGACAAAAACGGAATTTAAAAGTTGCGGAAGCAAAAAATAAGCAACACAAGATTTATAGTGGTGTCGGTCGACTAGACCTACGTCCCACTCCTTGGAGCACCCCTCCAAGTATTGCGACTACCAACGTGACTCTCCTTTAGCCCCCACAGTCTAGGCGGGAGAAGCCCCACAAGAAACTCCTTTTGCCACCCCGGCAAGGCAGAGGAACCTACTCCTTTTTACTTCCTTCCTGGAGGCTCTGGCAGAGAACGCACAACGAAAAGCAAAAACTCTTACCGTCTACCGACCCTTCCACGGGACGAGAAACCCAGACGAAAGACAAGCAGGAGGCGATCCTTGAGCAACCCTTGTGAATCCCTCACAAGCTCCCCTCACAAGATCCTCTCTCTCTCCCTCTCTCTCTTCTTCTCAAGGTCTTCTCAGGTCAAGCAGCAGCCAAAAAAGCTCTCTTAAACGTTGAAGAAGAGTCTCTTTAAATTAGAAGCCAGCTCAAGAGTAAGCTCATTATTGCAAGTAGCCGACTTATCGTCCGCCGATATGGACTCGGCCTAGCCATTAGATATAATCAAAGAGATCGGCCAGATCATAGCCCTGGGGAACAGTCTTGGACGATTGAATTTGGCGTTGATCGTCCAGGCCTGATATCAGGATCGTCCTGGCCGATTCGTTTCAAATATAAGAGTTTAAATCGTCGCTGCAGCATTTAGCTCTCGGAACAGTCCTGGCCGATGTAATTCTGGCTTTGATCATCGCAAGGCCGTTCTCAGCATACGTCCTGACGATATGATCGTATCATCATCCTTAGATTACGCCCGATTTCCTTGATCAATTAAGCATAATTTGTAATTCGTCCAGGCCGGTCTGGAACGGCCTGGCGACCTAATTAAAATTCAGTATGCCTAAATTGTCTAAGGCGCCTATCTCTTTGGTCTATTTGAGCTTATCGTTCCGGTCGCGATACACGTATCGTCCAGGTCCGATAGTTTTAATGTCGGCTGCCTTAATAAAGAATCCTTAATTTAGACTTTCTGATTTTAAGCCATCGTCCCAGACGATATAAATATCGCTCGGGCCGATGTGGTGGCCAAATATAACAGAATTTCTAAGCTCTCAAGTGTGTGTGTGAAAGGGGTTACTTAGCATCAGTCTTTTTGATTATTACAAGAAGACTTCAAAAGGATGAAAATTAAAGTTACAGCTGACTCAACCCTAAACTTACTGGGATCCGGACTTTGGCTCTTCTCTCTTGATCGTGCGATCTTCGATTTCCTTGAAAAAGATTAGAAGCAACAAAGTAGTACAAGGAAAACAGAGTGTTGTGGCAATCATTCAAAACATACGACATGCCAAAAGTTAGATTGTAAACAATCTCCCCCTTTTTGATGATGGCAAACACAAGGTAGGTGAAAGATTCATTAAACACAGGCAAAGATTACAAAAATCCGAAGACTCAAATAATTTTTCCTACATCCTACTCCCCCTGTTGTCATCACAAGAAAGCAGGGCCAAGAAACACACGTAAAAAGACTAACAAGTACACTAAAAGACAGGAACACCACAACACAAATACAGACTAAAACAACGAGCCCGATCCAGATCATCAGAGGAGGTGGTGGATGGTGTCTGCTTGAAAAGTAGGTGGCAAGCTGAGGTGAACTGGCATTGAACCAGGTGATGTCCTGTCTGCCGCTGCTGCGCCTGAAAGTACGGAAAACGTCAAATACGGAGCTAAAATCTGCCTCAGTGATCGGTGTGTCATAGCGGCAATTTGCTCCTCTGTTAGTCGTTGCTCTCCTGAGGCAAACACTAGCGGCAAAACCTTAGGCCTCCCCAACGATCCAAATACTCTTCAATCAACTGTATCAAAGTGGTGTGACTGCTGGTGAAGAGGGACAGGCATCCGGAAACGGGTAGCAGGCACGGGAGCCACCATTCTCTCTAGCCCCCGACCTCGCCCATCTCCAGGGTAGGACTTAAGTACTATGACAGTTCAGTGAAGAGAATTGTTTGAGATAGTGAGGCAAAGTGACGGTCAGAATGTATGAGGCATATTGGAGGAGATTGTCATTTTGTTTCAAGGACATAGCCTATGATGTGTCTAAGGCTTAGATTGGGGCTTTCTCTGTATGGCCTGTCTGGTCATGCGAATTGTGGTAGGTGATCCAGAATAGCGAAAGAGCCTAGCGTTAGCGGCATTGAATTCCTCTTTGGGCCATAATGTAGAAAGTAGTGAGGGAACATTAGAGGGGTGATGTGAATCCCGGTCCCCGGCTTTGGGATATGGAATGTCGAAGGACATGTTGGATGCCTACATCTCTTGACCAAAGAGCTAGTTTCTCCAACATGGAATGTGTTATTTGTCTGACGAAGGAAGTGAATTCGCCGGCTTTGATAGACCAGTCAAAATTCAGGATCAGTGGTGTATTGGGGCAGGCTCTATCCCAGTGTTATGATTAGCCTGTGAGAAAATTCAACACAGTCCTGATATGTGATTTTCGACAGGGCCGTCGATTCACAGTAGGATGGTCATGAACTGCTGAAGGTAGGTTAAGCGATAGTTGGACAAAAAATATCAGTGAGAAGTCGGAAGAGAAAGGGAAAGGCGGAGTGGTATAAACAAGAGCAGGTTGTGGGCAAAAAGTCCATTACCGGGTATGAGAGATATGCTGATTGCATTATCCGGACAGCGCGGTGATCGCTACTCTCTTCAATTTGTACGCATTGATAGGCAGCCTGATCTTCAGCCTTCCCTGAATCGAGGGTTCTAGAGTCACGCGCTCAAAGAACTCCCTGATGTTTGACGAATACGTTTTCCCACCAGCCATTTGAGAGAGTGATAGCAAGAACACACAAAGAGTTTGAAGGAGGAGTGTGAGGTAATTAAAATGGCTGAAATTGGTTTGAATTTAAAGGTGGTAATGTGCTGTATGATTTCCTCTTTGCAAGTTTGTGAGGGGCTCGGGCCTGGTTACCTTCAATTACGTCCCCGCCTCCGTCCCTTGGAATTAGTGTCCGATTCGGAAATCCAATTTCTGTGCCTGTGCCCATGTGCAAACTCTGTTCCTATTGTGCGCTACAATAAGGTTGCGTGGTACAGGACCGATTTGGCAAAAAGGGCTGGTCCGAATCGTCCGGGTACCGTGTTCCCGTGTATTATAGCTGGTAATAACTATGCCGACTCCAGTGGTTGATATTGATGCGGATGCTCCGATGCCTAGGTGCTACTGTTAAATTTGCGCGAGATGAGAGGCACAGTTCGTAGCTCCATTCTCGCGATGCCCCCGAAGACCATGTCTACGCTCCCCTATCTCGGTGAATTGCTGATTTAGTTCATATTCTTTGGTATTGTCCGTAATTAAATAGCTACGCTTGCAAAACCAAAGCAGGATCTGTTCGAGTCATGTGGGCCGATTAGGTGTTACGTCGGGACGATGCACATATAAATTGATAAACTCATGCTGCTACTATATGCCAGATAACATGTATTTCTACGTATCTGATTGACGACTAGCCTTAATCGAAAGTTCTCTCTCGTGATCGGGAGAGGTAATTAACTATAGGTGCTTGCGCCTATAGGAAACCAGAACTCAGATCATAAAGTCCTCGCAAAATGAGGGCGAAATCTCTGGGTAGTGTCTTATCTAAAAACCCATCTGCCTTCCAAAATTTACCCCGGAACCTATCAGTTAAAACTCCCTCGCCGAATATAAAGAAGCGCGAGTGGAGGCCGGGGCCGAATTTTCGGAGCCCACACTTGTTGATAGATATTGTTATTTTACTCCGGTTTTGAGAAATGAGAAAGCTTTAGGGAGCTGACCGGCTTTTCATTGCGGTTCGGCCTGTAACATTAATCTAATTTGGGCCTTCTGAAACTCTTTTCTGTAGAATGTTACTTCTGAAAGTCTGTTAAAGCCCATACTATCAACGGATGAAGTACAAGGTAAAGTATGAAGAAAAAAAAAAAAATTGTAACCTTTATTCATCAATCCTATTGTTTTATACTAGTTGATCTGTGATGCAGTTTGTGTTCATGGAACTTACAAGAAGAACTTGGAATCTATTTTGCAATATGGTCTGAAGCGCATGGAAAGGCTGCATGTTCACTTTGCTAGTGGATTGCCTTTAGATGGAGAAGTAATTAGTGGTATGCTATCAAAAGACTGAACTGCTTAAATTTTATCTTATCTTATCTTACGATACACTGCATAAGTTTTTTTTACTTGATTTTAGAAGGGAAATCACCTCTTATGCAAAGATAGTTTGCATTATTTCGTGATTCTATTCTAATAAGGTTGATAATTATGCCTGAAACTTGTAACTTGACAAAACTCTATGTTTAATATACTCAAAATCAAAATCAAAATTTTTAAGATTTAAGACTTAGGGTGCGTTTGGGACGGCGGTACTGCTTCTTTACTTTATACAAAGTTATTAAATCATTGTTTGGGACATTGCAGTAGAACCACGGCAGAAAAAATTCGCGGCACCTAGTTGCTTCCCGCGACCATTCGCTATCTCCCGCGGTCCGCTGCTTTTGACAGAAAAATGACATAAATCCCGCTGCAAATATTCGCTACCGTTGTCCGAAGCCTTCAGCACCGCTTCCGACTACCACCGTCATCCACTCATCCTCCTCATGCTCATTCCTGAACGAAAAAAAAAAAGAGAAACAAAATGACGTAAATCCCGCCGCCGCCGCCGACGCCGGGAAGCTGCCGGATTCCTTGTGATAAAAGAGAGGTAATGGTGTCGAGGCCGGAGGAGGCGAGGGAGGCGAGGACGCTTCCGGTGGAGGAGAGGCTCTCCTTGCATGTGTCTTGGTTTCCAAGAGCGGCGGAGAGCCATGATCGGAGGTCGATGCGGTGGTCGCCGGTGCTGAAGTTGACGGCAGCGATGGTGGCTGCGCCGGACGACGAGAGGGACCATGATAGCTCGTCGGAGGAGAAGTCGAGGAGGTCGAGGCAGTCGGAGATGGCGGAGGTCTCCGCCGAAGGTGCCTGAGAAGGTGGAGACGATGGTGCTCACTTGCTGGATTTGGTTCAAGGTGGAGTGTAGTATGGAGAGAAAGTCGGCGGAGATGCTGGCGGCGGGGGAGGTCGGCGGAGGCGGCGGCAGATGCGGGGTCGATAAGGAGGGTGGTGGGACCAGGGAAAGTGAAGGGGATAGAAGGAGGAGGAAGAAGCAGAGGAAGTTGATAATGGCGGCCATAGAGGCTTGGGATCGATAGAGAAGAAGAGAGAAGTATGACGGAGAGGGTTTGGGGCAAAGGGAAGTGAAAAGGGCTTTATAAAGAAGTGTCGCCGTGTCGGCAGCTTAGCCATTAGTGCGCCATTACATATATCAGTAATTTTCAGGGTTGCTCGTGCTCGTAAGATCTAGCATTTCCTGAGCCAACTTTTCCATGTTGCTGAAGTTTTCACTGGTGCACCTGAAAAGTATGTGGTCTCGTAGTAGTGTATCAGTAATTTTCAGGGCGTTCTTGATGGGAAATATGGTAATACATTATAAAAAAATTATATTATGGTATTTAATAGGTATAAAATATTTCATAAAAATTGATACAAGTTTTTATTTAGAATACTTAGTTTATTAACATATAATATTTTTGAAAATTTTAACATTTACATCATTTTTTTTCATCTCAATATATAAGGATATAAAAGTAATTTATTCTTATACAACAACTTGACAGTTATACTTCCCAAACAAAATGTACTGCTTTCTGTACATACGCACTCTTAAAGATGGCTTTTTTTTTTGAAGAAAAATGCCTCAAATAACATTGAAGAAAATAAGAAACTATTACAAAGTAAAAAGCTCAAACTATTGATTCCTCCTTTAATATAGACATAAATAAAGGAGGAATCTTATTGAAACTAACATCATCCCAAATAAAAGGAGATAAGATACCATAGTTAGCACATAAGTCCGCTAACTTATTACAATTTATATCAACACAATTGAAGATAACATTATTAAATTCCTCAAAAATATGAATGTTTGCATACCTTGTTTCACCATTCTTCTTGACTTCCTTCAAGAGCTTTATGATATTGATATTATCACCCTCTATGATGATTCCCTTGTATTTAAACATCCAATCCTTTAGCATTTCCTTTATAGATTGAGTGGTCAAAAATTCCAAAGACGATATGTCCCAATGAGTGTATGGTTTTCCAAATGCTAGAAGAAATCTACCTTTATGATCACGAAACACTCCTCCAATTCCGGCTTTGTATGAAGGTAGTAATGAAGCATCAACATTGACTTTGAGCCAATCGGGTGGAGGGGGATGCCAATGAGGATTAGACAACCTATAAGGTTGGTTAACATCCCATATACCCGAGATACTATGATTCCCAAGATTTACGAATGAAGCAAAACCAATTGCTTTGGAAGCAATGCTAAGAGGGCTATCCTCCTTCCCATTATGAATGAAGCTATTCCTTGATTTCCATGTGAAATATACCACCGAGCAATAAAGATTGATCATGAAAGGAGATTGAGAAGACAAATGATTACAACAACCTTGTAAAGAATGGAAATCATAAAAAACAAATCCCCATTCCTTAATATGTTTCAGAACTTCTTGCAGTTTATTACAATTAGTTACAATATGATCTATATCTTCTTTTGCATTGCAGCTCCTTGGGCATTGGTTGTCCCTGATTAATCTCCTGCGTTCAAGAAAATCACAAGTGGGAAGAGCATTGTTGAAAATTCTCCACCAAAGGGATTCCACTTTTGGGTTTAGTCTAGCTTTCTTCAACCATATCCAGAATTCATTCGGTTCATCATGTTTAACCGATAATTCAAAGACCATAGAAGATATAGATTTTCCATTGTAATTAAACAACAATTCCATACAATCTTTACTTGAACTGTTTGGGACAATGTTCTGTTGTATAAGATTGATCAAGTCTTTTCCCAAAAATCTTTTCATGTTTTCTATATCCCAGCTTCCATTAAGTAGAAAATTTGAAACAGTGAAACTACTGCAGTCAATAGGAGCAATGAAGGTTGGCCATTCAGCAATGCTCTTATAAAAAATCCATATGTCATTAACCACATCAACGTCTGTTCCATTGCTCAGCTTCCATCTGATGAAAGGCCTAATAGATTTGCCACCCAATCTGATGATTTTCCATGCCGGTGATCCAGATTTTTTGCTGTCCAGGTTCTCCAACAACTTCCCGTATTTAGGAAAAAATACTTTATAGATAAAGGATTCTTTATCATTCAAGTATTTCCAAGCAATTTTTGATCTTGAAGGACCAACTTTAGTAGAACAAGAGTGAAGTGATCTACCTCCCCATTTGGTAGGCAAGCACATGGTTTGCCAATTAACATAATGAATGCCTTTTCTACCATTTGATTTGTTCCACAAAAAACTTCTACAAATTTTACCTTCAGATGGAGAAGTAATTAGTGGTATGCTATCAAAAGACTGAACTGCTTAAATTTTATCCTATCTTATCTTACGATACACTGCATAAGTTTCTTTTACTTGATTTTAGAAGGGAAATCACCTCTTATGCAAAGATAGTTTGCATTATTTCGTGATTCTATTCTAATAAGGTTGATAATTATGCCTGAAACTTGTAACTTGACAAAACTCTATGTTTAATATACTCAAAATCAAAATCAATTTTTTAAGATTTAAGACTTAAAGATGGCTTGCTCGAATATATTTCAACTGAAAATTGATTCAATATATGATATATGATGTATGCATTTTTAAACACACATAAAAATTCATATATTCATGAATATGTAACAAATAAATAGTTTGCAGGAGGATTTATGTATTATATTATATTATATTGTGTATTATAACTTTGTAAATAAATATTAAATACATAAATATGGGTATTAATTTTGATTAGTAACTCAATATATATATATAATAGTCTTGACTTAGACTATCTTGCTCGAACTAGACTAGACAATGTCCGTACATTCTAATGAACAATACTAATTTTATTTTCACTTAAAGTTGTGGCAGGGACAATCATAATGTTATTAAACTATCAAAACCCCACAATATACTATCATATTTTTATGATTCTCTGGTCAGCCAAAGATGTTAATTTCCCTTTTTATTTTGGAAGGTGGATGTTTTTTCCCTGCCTATGTTTCTTTATTGTGCGGCCCTTAGACTTCATTTCTCTTCTATAAAATTACCGTTCTTCTTAACTTTCATTGCAAAGTTTCCTGGTGCAGCATGTGCCTACAACTCACTAATCAAATGAAATACGAATAACACATTGGGGATCTTTGCATCTCCTATCCAAATTTATTTTATTGTATTTATTAGTTGTAAAATAATTTCTTGGGTGATTTCTCCTCACAACAAATGTCAAAAAAATATGTCAACTTTTGGCTTAAGTTTAGACAAGAACTTTAAACAATAGAAATATAAAAACTTAACCATTAAAGATAAATGTGAAGACAAAATTGTGTTCCTTGTACTGGCTAAAGGTTTGAAGGGATCTTTGGATGATGTATCTTAGCAATTAACTCTATCAACGTTATTTTGTTGTACGAAAATCTATGTTTTGGAGTTGTTGCTTTGCCTCTTGCATTACTTTAGATATGAATACAGAATATTTATTCTGCATTCTGTAATAATTTGTAATGTAGTATTATTTCTTTTAAAAAGAGAAGAGGCATATCTAGCGTATGAGATTCCCACTAATGTAATATTTGGTGTGAGATTTATATGTACATCACTAATTGACAAATGACTGTTAAGAGTACAATATATTAGTTGGTGCATCTCTTGCAGATTTTTTATGGATGATCCATTTATGGGCATGCATTTGAACACGATGGGTGACTAAATTATAGACACCATCACACCCATGGATCTGTGGTTGCTGGACCTTTGGCTATAAAGCTTTAGCTATGCCTTCTCAATTATTCTGTGTTTTTAGAGTAATTGGTTGTGGTAAGTGATCTTAATTCAATTTGGTATTTGTACACAAGTCTTGGGTTTATATCCCTAGTAGTGCAATTGATCATTTAATGGGAATGGACGAAGACTGGCAAGAGGATAGGGTAATAGTTGTAGTGTCCTATAGGCCTACATTTGACCGGTCACGGATCTACATTTGACTACTAAATCATGGGCTTTGTGACACAACCATGGGTCTAAGGGCAGTTGGACCTCTGGCTATAAAGCTTTAGTTTCGCCTTTCATAGTAATGTGTGCTTTTCATGATTTGAATCAACGTAACATTTCTTGGCATTTATTATGTTTGTAGCATGCATTTTTTCAATTGTACCTCTAAAATCATAGCATTCAAAAGTCCAATGCACGATGCTGTCATGGGATTGTCAATTAAAAGATTACATAGATGGACCATTACAATGAGAACTACCCTTGATGTTATATATTGCACCTTAAACATTGCCATCAAATATATGTTTCATTTGGGACAGTTTTTTTACTGTTTTTTAAAATAAATTTTTAGCATAAAAATTTGTAGTTCATGAAAGTTTTGTGCTAGAAAGTTGCTTTAAAAAACAGTAAGAAAGTCGTCCCAAATAAAACCAAAGCTTCATCTCCAATTATTATATATCTTATATCGTGTCCTTGTAAACCTTACGAAATTTCGATGTCAACTTTTTCTCAAGGTATGCGAAGAGATGTCAATATTTTGATCTTCTTGGACTTAAGAAAGGCATTGCAAGGTAGGAATGCTATGTACAGTATTGCTAATACTTTCTTAGTTCATTTTAAACCAAAGGAATTCCAATCTATGACATACTTTTTACTTCTCAGATGGAATGAAATTTTATATTTCGGATAACAAAGTTATCCTGACCGAGGGGTTTGATGGCGTAGTTCCGACGGAGTATTTTGAGAAGATAGAAACTTGGCCGTGGAGACAAAGCATACCCTTGCAACAAAAATTCTGAGGTAATGTGCCTTTTTATTTTTGTTTATAAGCTGTAAGGCCTAGCATATATCTGTTGGACTCCAACTAGCTCATCAAAATCGTAGCCATTGAGTGAAATAGAAATCCAGCGAGCAAAGAATAATCCTGCTATGTATTTAAAGTTGCTTTTCAAAGAATATGTAAAAGCTGTACTTCATGTGGACTCTTGTTGTTCTTCGAACTATCACAGCATTTGTTACAGAAGCTGTGCTAATTAAAGTTTTGAATATTCTACAGGGATTTCATTTTTACCGTTGTAATTCGTTCACATTTTGTTCAGTGCTAATAATTGTTTAATAAAGAATGTTTGGAGTTTTTGAAGTATTGTTGTTGATGCCATGAGCAATTCCTTGATTGAGTTTATAATCGATTAGTCTGCCTCCTTTTGTTAAACCATTGCTTTTTTTTTTTCAGAATGGAGAGGGTAAAGGAAATGAAACAAAATCCCTATATATATATATATATAATTTTAAATTAACACATTATATATAGTCCGTATGGATTCTAAGAAAGTAATATGTGATACAAAGAATTTAGTTTTAATGATTTATACAATAGATTATATATTAAAAAGGATGAAAGATATATGTATAAGTTAGTCAAGTAAAGAGATAAGGAGAAATAAAAATTTTGTTCAAGTGAAGTGCATTAAAGATGAATATTAAAAAATATTTTTCTTATGGGAGGATATTTAATGGAAGTGCATGAGATATTATGATAAAAATTCCAATGAAGATTATGAGAATATAATTGATTATAGTGATCTTAACATTCTAAATGAAAAAATATATTTTTATTTTTATTAATGTAGTAAAAAAACTAAAGTTTTAAAGATTAAAAAAAGAAGTATCACATGATGTTATTTTAATAGAAGCATGAAAATTCCAAATTTTTTTTATTATTAAACTCTTTAATTATTTTGTAAGACAAAATGGATCTTAGATGAGTAAAGAAGAAGTATGTGTGTGTGTATTTTTTTTATTGAATAAATATGATGCACAAGAGCGTGTGAGGAACTAAGTTGATGTGACATACATTAAAGTTTTGGGGGAGAGTACTTGAGCATATGTTATGATGATATACAAATATTTTTCAAAGTTAATTTAGATTCATGTCGAGTAGGTCTATTATTGAAGCTATATATTTGTTATGAGGTTTGATGGAGAAGTGTAAGGATGATTATCAGGAGGGGCCCAGAGAGAGTCCATCATTAAGAATGGCCTTTTCTACACACCCCCCCCCCCCCCCCCTCTTCTTTTTTTTTTTGAAGAGGCAAACCAATTGTCGATACTTATTATTCAAAGCAAATCCTAATTACAAACTATAACCTTACAGAACTAGATTCCTCCTTTAACAATTTTGAAAACAGAGGAATGTTATTACAAGATAAATCTTCTCAAAGAAAATTGTTAAAAAAGCATAGTTAGCACATAGATTTGCTAACTTATTACAATTTCTATTGACCCAATTAAAGAAAATAAAATTATGATCCTTAAGTTAAGAGCTCATCTCTCCACTTGCCACCCAATTCTTGCAAAAATTTATGACATTGTAATTGTCTCATTCTATGATAATACCTTTGTAATTTAGCATCCAGTCTTTTTTTTTTTTCACCTATAAATTTAATCACCATGAGTTATAGATTAGAGATATCCCAAAGAATACAAGAGTGTCCATAACCCAGGAGAAACCTTCCTTTGTTGTCTCGAACCACATATCCAATTCCAGCCTTGTACGATTGCAACAAAGATGCATCTACATTGATTTTGATCCAATTGGGAGGAGGGTACTAATGATCCAATAGTCTAGTAGACTGATTAGTACCATAGTGTCCCAATTTTCCATCAACCATATATGAAATAGAAGCATAACTTACAGCATTTGATGCTATGAACATTAAGCTATACTCCTTCCCTTCGTGAACGAGTTTGTTCCTTGCTCTCCACATTAGATAAATTGCATTAGAATAGATATTAATGAGAAAGCTATGGACTTTACTAAACTCCATCCAGCTCCAACAATCTTGAAAAGATTCAAAAATTGAAAATCCAAAACCCCATTTATTTAGATAGCCTATGGCTTCCATCAACTTCACACATTTAACTGTTATATGGTCCAAATCCTCTCTTGAACCACAGTCCCCAGGACAACCAAATTCGCCTTGAATCCTTCTTTGATATAAAAAATGGAAAGTAGGAATATCATTATTAAAAATTCGTCACCAGAAAACCTCCACCCAAGATCTTAATTTGACATTTCTCAAACATTTCCAATTAAGACATTCCACATTATGTAGAAACGAAGCCTTGTAAACAAAAGATAAAATCGAATAACTAGAATTTTGATGAATAAGTTCCAAATAATCTCCTTCATGATTTCCTTGAATCTCAACCCCATAAATTAATCTTATGAGATCCTCTCCAAATAGTATTCTTAATTACATATTATTCCACTCACCATTAACAATTAGTTTATCTACAGTTCGTTTCCCAAACTCTGGAACCGAAACAAAAGTTGGCCATTTATTCAAACTTTTGTCTAATATCCATATATCATCATAGATATCAATTGAGCAACCATTTACCACTTTCCATTTAACCACATATTTCAGAGCCTCCTTACTTTTAGATAATATTTTGCAAGTGGATGAAGCCCCTCTTCTATAACCAATCTCACCACAATCCAACCCATATTTGGGTCTCAAAAACTTGTACAACAAAGAACATTTGTCTTGAATTACCTTCCATGCCAGTTTTTCTCTCAAAGGACCCACAACATTAACGTACGAACGAAGACCTCGTCCACCATCTCTAATCGGTTTGCATAGATTATTCTAGCTTACATAATGTAGGCCCAACTTTCCATCTTGTTTATTCTAGATAAACTCCCTACTCAACTTATCCAATTCCTTAAGAACTCCTTTCGGGATCAATGAGAAGGTACAATAAAAAGTAGGAATTGATAGGATATCCGTTCTAATCAGAATGAATTTTTCTCCCAATGACATAAGCTTACTTCCCCACACACCAATTAACCTTAAAGCTTTCTTGGTTAAAAATGGAAATTAGCAGCAACTAATCTCCTCAACGCTACCTTAACACCGAGATAATTGAATTCCTTCACCACCTTTAATCCCATGATATGTTCAATAGCTTTCCTTTTTCTCTTCTTGACATGTTTGCCAAACAAAATTGCTGATTTTCCTACATTAATCTTTTGTCATGTCCAGCTATAGAAATATGATAAGATCATTTTTATTTCCTTCACTTCTCTGATATCAGCTTGAGAAATAATTAAGATGTCATCTGCATATAGTAGATGAGAAATTCTCAACGCACATTGTTCCCAATTCTGATCCCCAATGATTTTTCTTTTTGTTTAAATCCATTAGTAAGAAGTTGTGAGCATATATTGAACAAAAATGGGGAAAGTAGGCATCCTTGACGAAACTCACTATTTTCATGAATCCATTTAGAAATCTTACCATTAATAAGCAAAGAAAATTTTGGATGTTCCACACATTCCATAATCCACGCAGAAAATTTCTGAGGAAACCCAAAATACTCCAAAACGTACCTTAAAGTCTTCCAACACATGCTATCATATGCTTGTTCCATGTCAACTTTAAATGAAACAAGCTCTTTGGAAGATCTCGAAGTCCTGAATTTTTGAAACACCTCCTGAGCCACTAGAATGTGATATCCTAATGACCTGCCATTGACAAAGCAGCTTGCTCCACTGATATTAACTTTTGAATCATAATCTTCATCCTGCTTAACAATATCTTAGCCACAACTTTGTAGATAGATCTGCACAAGCTAATTGGCCTGTATTGGCTTGGAACACCAAGATTTGATATCTTAGGAATAAGAACATGTAACATTTCTTTCCAGTCCACATTCAACTCTCTCGAATGAAAGAAATGATTAATTGCATTCCAACAATCATCTTTAATTATGCTCCAATAAGTTTTAATAAAGGAATATGATATGTCGTCATTACATGGTGAAATGCTTTCTCTAGCTTGCAATGCATCCATCTCCAATTATTCCATAGAAAGTTATTTACTTAATAATTCCCTATCATTCTCATCAAGGGAACAAATAGGTAAATGCCAACAACTATGATAGCCATTCCTTTCCTTTCATTTACCATAAATAAATTTAAAAAAACTTCAGCATATTGACTTTGATCTTCAAGTACCAAGCCATTTTCCTCCATAATTTTAAAAATTTAGTTTGCATTTTTCTAGCTGAAACATAGGAATGAAAAAACTTGGAGTTAGTTTCTACCTCAGACATCCATTTAACCTTGGCTCTTTGCTTCCACCAAGTGTTCAAATGGGCCAATATAGAATTCAACTCATAAAGATATGATCTAAGTTGAAAGATATCCTCCTCAGACAGCCAGCCATTTTTCGATTCATTTGATTGCAGCTCCAAGATTTTTGTTTTGAGAATTCCTTTATGGTGATTATATTCCTTGTGCTTAGCTTTGCTAAAAAAAAAAAGTGATTTCAAGGATCTACGAAATTTACAATTAAGTAATTCCACAAAGTTTCCACATGTCTTCTTGTTTCGCGCCGATCTCACAACACCAATAGATGCTGGATAAGAAGCCCAAACTTCCTCAAGCCTTATAATTCTATGAGTAGAAAAATTGTTATCCATGAAATTCAGAAGGATTGACAGTGTTCAGAAGCCACTCTAGCCAGACACCTCAACACCAACTGAGCTGAGTTCATTGCTACATGATTTACAAAGCACCTATCAAACCTTTCCAAGATACGAGCTCCACTAACCTTATTGTTGCACACAATAAACTTTGGTCCAATAAGTCCCAGCTCATGAAGATCATTATTAACCAAGAAAGACTTCAATCTCTCTAGAACCTTGAGAGAATCGAAAGGTTCTCCCTCCTCTTTTATCCTCTTTTGATAATATGCAATTGAAGCCCCCTCCAACCACCATAGGAAGATTACTAGAAGAGAAAGCCTCCAACTTCTCCCCAAGGTCCTCCTCTGAATCACCTCTTTACCATCATAAATAGTGGCTATTTTCCACACACCCTTATTCACAATTTTAAGCTCTAATATAACCACTTGGTTTGAAGAATACAATAAGGAAAAAGAAGCTACCTTGTACTTCCAAAGCACCAATATTCCCCCATACAAGCCATATGCAAAAACTTGAAAGAATTCCTAGTCATTTCCAATAAGGACATTATTCTCCATCCTACTAAAATAGGAAATTTTAGTTTCCAATAACCCCACAAAAAACACATTATGACTTTAGTATATAGTTTATTGCTACTCCAGCCAC